TTTCATCGAATCTCAATTCACAACGGTGCTAAAGAAGTTTTCACTTCAAAATATTAACACAAGTATTGAGACTTATTTATACTGAATAAAATTTATTATTATTATTAATGCCCCTACTGCTGGGGTAGAGGCCTTTCCTATGGATGGGTTAGGGAGATTGGCCACTCAGTGCCACACGCGGGCACAGTGCGGATTGGTGGGTGCTAACGACTGCAGATGCATCCGAGAGCAACGGCTTAGCGTGTCTTCCGAAACACAGAAGAACTCGAGATGGTAAAGGACATCGATGAAAACGGCCCTAGCATGCCCAAAAGAATGTCCTTCACAATTATTTTTCTATTATTTTTTTCACTTATTAGCAATTAATCATAGTAAACGGACAATCTGTTTAAAAAAGTAAAAAATTAAAGTTCTGTTACTAGATACTACAGTCTGTTCATCCAACTTGTCCTATTTGGTAAACAATCTTGGCACTCCTTTTTATTGAAAATACAGCATTAAAAATCAACTGATAACTGGATTCAATAGGTTTCAGTCTATAATAACGATTTATTTTAATAGTTTATTGGCTTTGTTAATATTTTATTATTAAATGGGCGATTCTGTTAAAAAGTTGTGCCAAGATTGTTTACCTTATTAAATGCAATATAGGCGCGACCATAGGTATTTATCAACATAAAAATAGAACTAGGTACCTTAGTTAATAATACTTATTACTAGTATTTATATTATATTTATAAAAAGATTATTTCTGAAATTATAGTTTATACTCCCATCCCATGTTAATATCTGTTTATTTTTATGAAAATCATAATGATAACCAGGTACATACCTAATTACCGATAGTAAAATATAGAAACAGGTAAATGGAAAGACTTTGAACATTTTATTTGAAAAGAAATCTATTATTACTACAGGTAGGTACAGGTATCAAAGGTGCCAACTGCCAACACTCATAAATCTATGAATATAAGCATGTATTATTTTTATTATTAATTGCATTTCATGTTCATTTAATGCATATTATTTAAGTGCTTACATAGAGGTAAACACTAAATCTATTCAGAATATATAAAGTGTACATCTTTTACGATTAAGTATCTCTTATCTATTAGACAAGTCCGTCCGTCTGTCCGTCCGTCCGTGGTGCTGTTTCAGAGGCCAAACCGTAAGAGATAGATATAGAGAATGTTTAAGTTATAAGTTAAGAATAGTCTGATAAGACTACAAACCGGATGGGAGTAACGTAGCACTTCCGGTTTTCGAGAAATCACGTGATTTCTATTTCAAACGAAACCACACAAAATCTCCGAAGTTCTCAATTAATTAAATACTTTTTTTTTTGGTGAACATTTGGTTCACAGGTTTGCTAGTAAAAATTATAACCTCAAAATCTAATACATTCTGTAGTAGGCCTCGGTTCCTCAAGTTGTCCGTATCTCAACAAATGCCTAATTAGAGTTTATGAATAATTCCGAATACAACTAGCATTTTCTCATTGCTGGGCGTTCTAGGGCATTCAATGTATGGGGAACGAGCAATGTCCTTTTTGGTCACTTATCCAATGACCGACCACTGTGAAAGTTGCTTAACTTTAACGATCGCAGCCGAACGCGCTAACCCCGAGTTCCTCTATGGTTTACTCCATGCCAGACCCACCTTACCCTTAGCCATACCCCTGGGGGTAGGGTGGGACTAAACCATACCACCGTTGTAGCGCTTGATGGAAAAAAGAAAAAAAATAGATACCTAACAGATACAAATATTTAGTTTAATAAAATAATCCGTTCTGGCAAAACCTAAAAATATAACAAATACTTATTTTGTTATTTATCTTAAACAGAAAAACCTAAAAGACGATAGGTAATCTATGTTCTTAATTGTCTAGCGCATGCCCAATGGTGATTTCGTTGTGCACTAACTGCATTTGGACTTCTGTTATAAAATCATCATTAATAAATTGTTCCGCTCGACGTTTTTAGGAGTAACTTTTGTTTTATAAATATTGTGTAGAACATTTAACAGCCGCATTAAAGTTCATCATCATCATATCAGCCGTATGACGCCCACTGCTGGACATAGGCCTCCCCCAAGGATCTCCACAACGATCGGTCCTGCGCTGCCCGCATCTAGCGTTTTCCCGCGACCTTCACCAGATCGTCGGTCCACCTTGTAGCGGGTCTTCCCACTGAGCGTCGTCCGGCACGCGGTCGCCATTCGAGAACCTCCCAACGGCCATCGGTTCTCCTCGCTATGTGTCCCGCCCACTGCCACTTCAGCTGGGCTATTCTTCGAGCTATGTCGGTGATATATGGGAGCTATGTATGAGTTCTCCTACGGATCTCGTCATTTCTGGCTCGATCACGCAGGGAAACACCAAGCATAGCTCTCTCCATTGCCCGCTGGGCGACCTTGAGCCGTCCTATGAGACCCATAGTAAACGACCACGCCTCACTGCCATAGGTCATCACTGGCAACACACACTGGTCAAAGACTTTCGTCTTAAGGCACTGAGGTATTTTAGACGCGAAGATGTTCCGCAGCTTCCCGAACGCTGCCCATCCGAGTTGGATTCGACGAGAGATCTCTTTCTCGAAGTTGGACTTACCTAACTCGATTGTGTGTCCTAGGTAAACGTAGTGGTCAACAACTTCAAGTGTAACGTTCCCAACATTAACTGGAGCGGGTGCAACATGGGCGTTGGACATGATTTTCGTCTTGTCCATGTTCATCTTAAGCCCCACTCGCTGGGATGCGTCACTGAGATGCTCGAGCATGGTGTTCAGGTCTTCCAAGGTCTCCGCCATTAGGACTACGTCATCGGCAAGTCAGGTACTCGCCGTTAATGTTAATGCCGAGTCCTTTCCAGTCCAGAAGCTTAAAAATATCCTCCATCGCAGCAGTGAACAGTTTCGGAGATATAACGTCTCCCTGTCTCACCCCTCGCTGTAGTTGGATAGGATTAGAGCTCTGATTCTGTACTCGGACCGACATAGTGGCGTTTTGGTATAGGTACTTTAACACTTCGATATACCTGTAGCCCACTTGGCACCTCTGGAGAGACTGCAGCACCGCCCAGGTCTCGATCGAATCAAAGGCCTTCTCATAGTCCACAAACGCTAAGCAAAGTGGCCGATTATACTCTTCGGTCTTCTGTATAATCTGCCGCAGCGCATGGATGTGGTCTATGATACTAAAGCCTTTTCGGAAACCGGCTTGTTCGGGAGGCTGGAAGTCGTCGAGCCTGCGAGCGAGACGATTCGTAATGACCCTCGAAAACAGCTTGTAGATATGGCTCAGAAGCGAGGTGGGTCTGTAGTTCATCAGTAGGGTCTTATCGCCCTTTTTGAAGAACAAAATCACCTCGCTTCTGCTCCATGCCTTCGGCGTTTTGCCCTGGTGGATGATGGAGTTGAAGAGCTTCTGGAGGACTTTAAGTACCGGCGTACCGCCCGCTCTCAGAAGCTCTGTTGTGATTCCGTCATCTCCCGCCGCCTTGTTGTTTTTAAGCTGTTTGAGGGCAATTCTAATCTCGTACAGGCTGACGTCCGGGATATCCTCGGTATAATGTCGGGTAAGCTTGGCTCTAGGATCTAGAGCTCTGCTTTCGCCTGGTGTTCTGCTGGAATATAACTGCCTATAGAAACTCTCAATCTCCCTCAGGATTTCAGGAGTCGATGAAATGATACTACCGTCCTCAGTTTTCAGCCTCGTCAGTTGACTTTGCCCTATAGACAGATCTCTAGCGAACACTTTGGAGCCTTTGTTCCGCTCTATGGCCTCTTTAATACGCTCGGTATTAAAGTGGCGAAGGTCGCTCGTCAACGACTTCGAGATCTGTCTATTAAGCTGTCTATAACGAAGGGCATCCGCTGAGTCCTGTAGTCTCATTTCATGTCTCTTATCCATGAGTTCGAGTGTGTATGCGGAGAGTTTCTTTAATTTGGTACGGCGGGTTTTAAAGTGTTTAGACCCTACCGTACGGACAGTATCCACCACCAGGTCGCTCAGATCGTCCACGTCTATGCTGTTCTCAAGGTACTCGAAGCGGTTCTGGAGCTCGAGCTGAAAGTTTTGAATTTGGGCTGGCACCGGTAGGAGCGTTGATTTTATCAGTCGCGATCTTTCAAGCTTAACGTTGATATTCAATGTGCCTCTTACCATGCGGTGATCGCTTCCTGTCTTAACAGCGTTGATCACTGAGACATCATTGAATGTTTGCTTCTTCGTCGACATGATAAAAAATCGCATTCATTGCCACTTTCATAATCAGTGTATTTTAAATGGTTTCCACTTCGGTATTTGTGACAAAATCAAATTGAATAAAATCACGTAGCTCTTTTATTTACGGTTTGACATCAAGGCAAAAATTTGTGGCATTACTGTAGTCCTTTCTGTGGTACTGCTGATGTCAGCAGAATATATATTTGAGCGAAAGGTTAGGCAACTATGGAAAGTGCCATCCAAAAAATTTTCTTTAATACTTGGGATCATTTTTCTGAACCATTTTTATATTTTTTGTGGTGATGGTAACGGTATTTGCCACAGGGAAGTGCCGTTCAGCCATTAATTTTAATAAAATCAAGTTCTTCTGTGGCCATTTTTGTTTAATTATTCAAATCTTTAGTAAAATCACAATGTAAAAAAATAATAATTTGTATTTAAATGTCACTCAATAAACAGTTTATCAATTTGTACAAGAAGTCTAAATATCAAGCTGGGTGAAGTTGAACCGTTAATTACCTATCGCAAGGGACAAAAGGATACTTGAAATAAATACACGATAAGATTATTATTCAGAACAATCAAGTAAAAATGAATTATAAGTACATATTTATATTATGTCATATGGGATGCTATTAACACCAGGTACATACGTAATATTCGGAAGACGAAACCTGAAAGCATATAGTGCACAGCACTACGGTGGTATGGTTCAGTCCCACCCTATCCCTGGGGGTATGGGTAGGGGTATGGTGGGTCTGGCATGGTTTACTCACCTGTAATTGTAGTGCGTGCGTATAGTGCGCTCTCTGCGGCTGTACAGCGGTAGGTTGGGGCGTGCTAGTGCCACTGCGATTCTGTTGTTGGTAGTATTGATGCATACGGCTGTCTGAAATTGAATGAAAAAAATCTAATCAGCTTCAATCTTTCGCTAGTTTTGTAACTCAAAATTAAACATATTTCATTACGAATTAAAAAATAACGTTAATGGCCAGAATAATGTTTACAATCATAATCATTTATTCAGTTTAGGCTGTTACAAGCACATATGAATGTCTAGAAGCTACGCCATCGGTTCGTAAATCTACGGCGGGAGACCTTGTACTGAGAAGAACCGGCAAAAAACTCAGCAAGGGCTGTTTTTTCCTCCCTGTTTTATCATTTACAGAGTCGTCAAGTTGAAATTATACATTAATTGTTCACCTGCATTCTCTGAAAAGATCTCGCTTTCTCGACGACACTAAACGTAAGTACCAAAATAAATTACTTAAATACCAAAGTAAAGTCTTTAAGTACCAAAGTAATTTATACTTACAGTCATTACCAGTCCAGTGTGTACTACCTATAGTCGTGGTAGTATGTGGTGCTATTCAGAACATATAACAACTGGTGGTGGCTTCGTATGGGAGCGATCGCATCTCCTAATTAGAGTTCACCGTTAAGATCGCGCTATCTCATCGACCCTGTAAAGCTTTGTCCTCCTCCTGAGAGGGAGTCGCCATCTCCAAAAAGATTACTTACAATCGTTAGCAATACAGTGCGTACTATATTGGTTGTGGTAGTGTGTGGTGTTGCTATATGGAACGTCCAACAGTTAGTGGTGGCTTCGTATGGGTGGTGGTGTACTCTAACGACTTCTCCTAGCTAGATGTATCTATTTATTTATTGGAATATTTACAGACGAATAGTATCATTAGTTTGCATATTAAATACACATATGCTCTTAACGAAATCTCCACAATTATGAACCAAATTAGAATAACTAGAGAACAATTAAGTTTTTGAAAATAAAAAGAATAAAAAGAACACAGTTAGCACAATGGTTACAATAGAAAGAAATAAAAAGCCATAATGACAGATACGACACTTATATTCCTCTAACGTGAATTTCTAATGCTAATCTTCAAATAAGCTAAAAAAAAGACTTTTTATACAGATGATATGCTCGATCAAAACAAGTTAATATCAAATGGAAGTTGATTGAAGGTGTTGCATGCTCGTATCATATACGAGTTGGCTCTATAGCGAGTTCTTGCTGACTGGCGGTATCACAGTGACCTTTGCCCCAATCGAAGTAGGTGAGTCTTAAAGCTCAAAGCGGACTACAGTTCAGGACAATCCTTTTTTCCTCTAGCGATATTAATCAGAAAGCAGATATCGCTTAGCCTTCTTCTTTTTTCTAACGACTGAAAATTAAATTTTTTCCATCTATGAACATAATCTAAAGAAAGTTGATGCGTTTTAAAATTCAATATTTAAGGAATATTTTTCATTACATTCATGACTAACTGGGATATTTGAGAAAAAATGTCGATAGTTTTACGAAAGAAACGTGTTGCCGTGGAATTTGTTATTTGATCTTTCCACTATTTGTGTTTTTTAATCAAGCATCGAAAACATTATTTATATTTATAAAACAGAATATATTGTTATATAAAGTGCACATTTAGCGTGTTTGAATGTCCAATTGTAACTAAAGCGAATTGTGGTCATGTACCACAATTTAAGCGGATCACTTTTGAGCCGCAAGTGCCGTATTTTCCCTTTTTCTTTTAATCTAAGGTTCACACTGAAGTTCATTCACTTCAGATTGTAAGTAAGCATAATACCCGCCTGATGGTAAGTGGCCGCCATAGCCTACAAACGGGCGCTCCATTTCGAGAGTCCGTTTCGCCCAAGCTCTTTCGATTCCTTTTGATCTACTCATTATCTTACCACAGGAAACGCAATAAACATTTTAGTTCTTCCCTTATGTTTTACTGTTGCCATAAAGATAAGTAGCACCTACTTAACAGTTTTAAATTCTATTATGTAGTCCAAATGAAGGGATTGTACTATTTGGCTAACTACCGAAGGCTTTTTACTTGGTTCGAATTAAACATATTAATTAGGGCTAGATTTAGAATTTAGAACAACTTCAGTGTGTTCCAAACTCGCGTATGGAATGGTCGCATCATACACATGACAATATGGCTCCTAACCTTTTAAAAAATAGAACATATTTATAAAACAGAATATATTGTTATATAAAGTACATATTCAGCGTGTTTGAATGTCCAATTGTAACTAAAGCGAATTGTGGTCATGTACCACAATTTAAGCGGATCACTTTTGAGCCGCGAGTGCCGTATCTTCCCCTTTTCTTTTAATCTAAGGTTCACACTGAAGTTCATTCACTTCAGATTGTAGGTTAGTATACTGTGTTTCCAATGTTTTGATATTTGCGTTATCATCCTTCCTAAACTCCTCATATTCAGATAATTTGCACTCGATGTCATCATATTTCCTGGATAGAAAATCGATTGCTTTCTCTATCTCACGGTTAGATTCCTGAATTTAAACATTCTGACATTTTACTTTACAGATACCATTAGATAATTTAGTTAATACTTTGTCATGATCCTCTTTTCAGCTTCTAACATTGACATGGTAAATTCCTGTACGTTCTCATCTTCCCGGGGTTCGTCAGTTCTGGGACGCTTATTTCTTTGCGGTATATAATCAGGACTCGCTTCCAGGTCCGAAATTTCCTTTATGTTAGGCACAGATGCACTATGTCATTTTGCGTATGGTAGTGTTCTCCGCATTTTTAAGAGGACTTGTTTCTTACTAAGACAGTCCCAGGAAATTATAGAAACGTAAAAAAATATTTTTAAACAAAAGGAACAAACAAAGTAAAAAGCAACATATATTCAAAAGAAAACAGGGAACCTTTAATTCACTTTAAAATCTCTGATCAAGGAAGATAAGCCTTGGTGATATGAATCCAAGCCGCAATTGTCTTATGCACGCAGAGGTGTTAACCACTAAGCCACGATGCGTTAGTGTAGTTGACTAAAAAACAGATGGCTATGTAAGCCCGTAACTTGTTGGGTAAATGAGGGTGATGTGATGATAATAATTCACAAAGTTTATGGTGGTCTACTGATATTTAGTGTAGTATTTAGGTTTCATTGCACTTATTATTACTTATTACTGATTAAACCATTCGGTTTTCAACACTGATTCACACTGTAATATAGATATCACTGTTTACATTAGATGTGGGGGTGTTCCGTGGATGTGAGTGACTGTTAATCGTTTTTTCTTACTATTACACTTATCATATCAAGATTTAAGTGACAAAAACATTAGTGCACATTTATTAAGATATACCGAGTAACTTCACTTGATTGTTTTACGAACTACTGTGGTAATTTAATTTTACCTTGATGTTAATACTGAGACGATGTTAAATACACGCGCCCTCTAGCGGGGGGAAAAAAGCGACTCGCCATCTAAATGACAAGTGAGGGCAGCGGCAACTTTGGCTGCTAGTGGTCTCTGTCTCTCTCCATCTTCAAAAATATTACTCACAGACGTTAGCAGTTCAGTGCGTACTATAGTCGTGTTGGTAGTGGTAGTGTGTGGTGGTGCTATATGGATCGTATAACAGTTGGCGGTGACTTCGTATGGGCGGCGGTGACTCCTACCGCTTCACCCGCGTCTCTAAAAATATTTCACTATCTAGACACCAATAGTACACCTACAATCGTTAGTAGTCCAGTGCGTACTATAGTCGTGTTGGTAGTGGTAGTATGTGGTGGTGCTATATGGATCGTATAACAGTTGGCGGTGGCTTCATATGGGCGGCGCTGACTCCTCCCGCTTCACCCGCTTCTCTAAAAGATTTCACTATCTAGACACCAATAGCACACTTATAATCGTTAGTAGTCCAGTGCGTACTATAGTCGTGTTGGTAGTGGTAGTATGTGGTGGTGCTACATGGATCGTATAACAGTTGGCGGTGGCTTCATATGGGCAGCGATGACTCCTCCCGCTTCATCCGCGTCTCTAAAAGATTTCACGATCTAGACACCAAAAGTAAACTTACAGTCGTTAGCAGTCCAATGCGTACTATAGTCGTGTTGGTAGTGGTAGTGTGTGGTGGTGCTATACGGAACGTATAACAGTTGGTGGTGGCTTCGTATAGGCGGTGGTGATTCCGGCCGCCGGCACCGCGGCGCCGATCGCACCGGCGATGTCTGCTCTGAACTGGTCTGCGAACTGTATAGTTCTTGACTGCTGTCTGAGCATCTGCAATATGAAACATCGGGTGTGTAAAGGCCCACTTGCAGCAAATTTGTTAAATCTCGATTCAACTAAAACTAGATATAGATAAACAGAAAAATGTCAAAACATCCATGACAATGTGACAATATTGTATGGGCTAAATCTAGTTCTAGTTAAATCGAAATTTAGCAAATTTGCTGCAAGTGACCCTTAATCGTAAAATAAGCACTAAGTTTTAGGCTAAGTCGAGGAGAACATTTATTTTCTGACCACAAATTTTAAACAAAAATGTATGAGAAAAACCTGACAAATTGAAAAGCTTGTAAAAAGTGAGTTTTAATAAAACCGAGTTTTGAACATAATTATTAGAAAATAATGTTTGATACTTTTTTAATGTAAAAATTACCAAGGGATTAGGACCAAAGTCCTGACGTGCCTTCCGAAGCACAGTGCAGCGATGCCATTACTCTTGAATGGTTGGCAACAGGCGGCTGCATGGCTGCGGTTGTACAAAAGCGCGGTTTGCAACGTCCGCCCGTAAACAGAGGACGTTGCAAGGTCAAACGAAATATGGTGTGCAACAGCAAGGTCACCTCTGATTACAACGGGGTTTACCACCATGTAGCACACGTTTATTCAAAAAAGTCTCATACTCATTGTTGCTGTAGCACTGGCCTTGCCTACACTGGCGGGCCGTGACGTAGTCCGATGATGGTCAACAAAGGCCCCATACATACCCAATATGGCGTAGAGCGAACAATTCCGGTACACGTCCTGCTGCTGCGCTCGCAGCGGGGTGTGCGTATAGCGCGCGTATTGGCCCGCGTGCTGCGCGTGATCGTAAAATGGCTCGATATTACGTAGTGCGATGATGGTTGACAAAGTTCCCATACCCAATGTTGGCGTACAGCGAACAGTTCCGGTACACGTCCTGCTGCTGCCCCCGCAGCGAGGCGTACGAATAGTGCGCATACTGACTCGCGGACTGCGCGTGCGTGTAGCACGACTCGCTGTGCTGCGGTACCGGCGTCGTTCTAATCTGGCGGGCTGTCACGTAATCTGCTGATTTAGACCTACGGAAAGCATAACAAAGTTGTTATAGAACGTTGTATCGAGGACATTTTCCATTCTAAGGAAATTTAGGTTAAAGAATGAAAATTCTTTATATATCTGTCTTCACCCTGTCTCTGGGGTACAGAGAAATTTCTATATATTTATAAATCAAACAGTGCTTCAAATAACGTTTATTTTTTATTGAAATTGAACAAACAAAGTTTTATAGTTTAGCGAGTTGTAGGCGCGAGTTCTGATTGACTGCAGAGTAATACAGCCAAGGGTATGTGGAGTTGACATCTGCGCAGACGCACGCATGGGTTGCAATTCACTCTGTTGTAGAATCTAATATAAGTTACAGCAATGCTTACCAATTAGAGATCGCGCTTGCTGTTCTGCGGCCGCAAGTTCAGGTTAACTTCAGAGTAATACGGTTACGAGTTTGTGGAGTTGGTGCGCTGGCACGCATTCGCGGGCATCTACTTGGGATCTCGTATCTTTTCTTTAACTGATATCAGTAACAAGGACGTTTACCAAATAGAGGTCGTGCTCGCTCTGTTCTTCGGCGGCTAGTTCAGTTTGGCTTCAGAGTAATCGGCCACCAGTACGTGGAGTTGGTGCGCTGGCACGCATGCGCGGGCAACTGCGAAGGAGTAGCGGCTGGCGAAGTTCGTAGATCGCTTTGTATCTGCTGCAGGATTTTTATCTTTTCTGTAGACACAAGTTACCATGACACTTACCAATTAAGGTTTGCTCTCGCTCAGCTCTGCGGCCGCGAGTTGAGGTTGGCTTCTGAGTAATACGGCCAGGAGTACCTGGAGTTGCTTCGCTGGCACGCATTCGCGGGCATCTACGCGGGATCTCGTAACTTTTCTTTAACTGATATAAGTTACAAGGACGTTTACCAATTAGAGTTTGCGCTCGCTCTGCTCTGCGGCCGTGAGTTGAGGTTAGCTTCAGAGTAATACGGCCACGAGTACGTGGAGTTGGTGCGCTGGCACGCATGTGCGGGCATCTGCGCGGGAGTAGCAGCCGGCGAAGGTTGAAGTTCGCTTTGCATCTGTTGTAGGATCTCGCCGGACGCTCCTAGCTGCTGCTTTACCGCTATCCCGCGGACGGCGGGACGACGGTGGAAACCTGAATTATTGCACGTTTTTTTATTATAATTACTTCGTACCTATACAATTAAAACTCTCGAAAAGCTCTACGCAAGCGTAGAAGTGTAGAAAAATCGGTGATCCCAAGTGTTGGGATCCGATGGGACCGACATAATGTGCGCGATTCTTAATAAGCGTTGGATTAAGAATTGCGCACATTATGACGGGCTGCAGCGCAAAAAATAAATCCGCTCTTATGTATTTTATATGAACTGCATATTCCGCCGTGGATTTTGCTGTGTTCTGTAGTTGCGTGCGATTCGGCCCAGCCCGTCCCGCTGCGCCCCGACAGTGTGCTATAGTAAGCGGATTGAAGTGCATACATTTGCTTGGACGTCTGGCAGTACACTGTACCCAAAATCAGTGAATGCGCTGCGACCCGCTAAAGTGCTAAGTAAGCATTATGCAATGCGCTGCGGTCCGCTCCTCCCCGCTGTGCCCCAACATAATGCACGCCATTAAATTAACTTTGACTTTTTTGTGGTCAGAATTTCTACACATATAATATAACTAAAAAAATTCCATTTTGGTCCATTTAATCCAGATTGTACATATTTAAGATTTAACTCTCAGCAATATTAATAACTAGTCTTAACTAGTCGTAAATAAAATAATTATAATAAATAAATATTTCCAACACTCACACCAATTAGCCTAGCCCCAAAGTAAGCACTGTAAGGCTTGTGTTATGGGATACTAGGGTAACGGATAGAATACATATACTGTACATATATAAGTTTATTTATAAAGAAATACATATTAAACATCCATGACTGGAGTACAAATGTTCGTATTCATCACCCTAACATCTGCCCCCACCGGGATTCGAACCCGGGACCTCTCGAGTCGGCGACACCATGAAACCGGCGTACAAACCACTCAGCCACCGGAGGTCGTCAAATAATACTACTAATAACCATTTATTTCAGGCGTAGTAGCCATATTACATACAGAAATAGAAAAAAAATGTTAATCAAATTAAATAATTACAATCACAATAATAATAATAAAAAATATAAATTTCATTTTCATTTCTGAGATCAAGATAGCACTCATATACACTTGTATTTCGTTTTAAATAATATTTTTTTGTGTGTTTTTAATGCAAAAATGGCCATAACAGTTGAAAGACTGACACAGAAACCAAACTGCGCATTATTTAATTTAAAACAATTTAAAAGTTCAGGATGTAGTAGTCTCTCCAGGATCTTAGACATGATGGTAGCCAAAGAAATAGGGCGATAATTTAGGGAATTCGAGGCATTACTAGATCCATGCATAGGTATGGGCACTACAATGGTTTTCATAAATTCTGCAGGGAGATAACAATCAGAAAACACGAAGCATTTTTTTTTCTTTTACAATAACAAACCAACGCACAGAAAATTTAAAAAAAACAGCTCACGTAATTTATGGACGTAAAATCATCCCCCTAACAATCCGTGTTTTTTTTTGGGTTGTGGTTATGTCTGCGTAAAAATTACTTTCGTAATTAGTAAAATATTAAGAACAAGTGCATATTAAAGTTAAAATTAGATGATGACCTAATACGAATTAAACAAACACACCATAGTCGTCGTGTTCGTCGTCACTACTCGCCGGCTGCGACTCTTGGCCGTATCGTTGTCTGAGTCGCTCTGTCCTCGGGGCCGCTGCCCTTGCGAACGCTGCTAGTCCATCGTCACTTTCTCCAGCTCCTGAGGTAAATAGACATACAATTAATCTAACGAAAATTTTATTATCATCATCAGCATATGTCCCCACTGCTGTTTCACAGGCCTACCCTATAGATGGAATAGGGAGATGGGACCATGACCCACCACGCGGGCCCAGTGCGGATTGGTGGGTGCTAACGACTACAGATACAGCCGGGACAAACAGCTTAATGTGCCGAAGCACGGAGGAGCTCGGGATAGTAAATTTTTGGTCACCCAACTAATGACTGAACACTGCGAAAGTTGCTCAACTTCAACGATCGCAGCTGAACGTGCTAACCACTTGCGCGATCGAGCTCCTCAAGAAAATTTAATAAGAAAAAAAACCACTTGGTCCAATGCGTCCACCCGGATTCCGAAAGGTGAAGGTTCGAACCCTGTCCGATACCTAGACCTTTTTTTTGGGAAAATGCCTCTGGGAGAGAGACGGGCTTGTGGGACTCCTCTTCCTCCCAAACCCCGCCCACCCACTCAGCCAGCCCATAGGACTGTGTCAGCGGCTGCTGCGGATGAAGTGGGGAGCCCTATCCACTAAAAAACCAGCAGTGCTTCCGCGCCTGCCGAAGCGGGTTTCGCGGGATCCTGAGACTCTCCACGTTACCCCCGGTAGGGGTTCCTCCGATGCCTACATCTGGCTAGATTTGTAAATCTAAAGATTTTTTTAATTCATAAATCTAGCAATGTAATGCTTAAAATAACGATACAGTAAACAGATATATACCGTATATCTATATAAGAGTCAGTTACAATATTTATAAAGTAACGAAGGAAATTATTGAAGCGATTATTGTCATTGTTTTTATGCAGGCAAAATCAACATCCAACTGATTGTTGAATTGATTGTCCGCCCATGAACACCAAGTGTTGCAAGTGTTAAATGCAATTTTCTGCTTTTCTTATCCTCGTCTATCTATCCCTCTAGCATGAGCCTGCGATATGATTATAACAACACGTTTTATCACGGGAAGTGATCAAACTCTATAGTAATTTGACGAAATTGTGAAATATATCATACTAGTGCAAGCCCACGACTTCATCTGCGTAGTTCAATTGATTTCCAATAAAAATATTCCGCCCCGTTAAAGGATGATTTCTAGGATAAAAACTTTAGCTCCTAGTGACGGGAGATGAGGAATCAAACAGTCAGGGTGTCGCATGATAACAAAGAGAATATTTAATTTGTATTTACATCTTGTAGACTAATTTTCTTAACTAATATTCATGTGCGTCAGCGGTAAATTCTTGTCATCCTCGTAAACTCGAAGAGTCCTAATGGCGTTGTTATCGCTGTTTTCGGAATGTGGTCTTCGAAGATCGGTATGTGATAAAAAAAACCGGATGTCAAGCTTGGAGAATACGGTCTTATCCCGTAGCAGGTATGTAAAATCTTGATGAACTTTTGCATAGATCGGTGGTCCCCTTGTATGTAAATAATGCACGATATGCTTAGGTGCATTTTTCAGTGCCGATGGACTCATGACGTCAGGAAATGTACTTAATAATAACGTAGGCTCCGGTTGCGTCTATTGTCCGATTAGATGACTCATGCGAGTGCGATGAGCGCGCGGACACCGATAATTTTGTAATTTTGTCGATCAATGATTTGTCACTAAAATCTATGTTAAATTGATTCTTAATGAGGACATCAGCTCCAAAGATTGTTCTGCGCACATCGGCTATCACGAATGTCCATGTGAAAGGTCTTCTTAATCCGAAATCTCTACAAACAGTCTTGAAACCATACGTTTTTATTTCTTTTCCGTTGGTGGCATAAATTGCGTAATCGGCATTGGTAGGCTTTTCTTAGGTGCGGGCGAGCACAGATATGTCCGCCTCGGTGTCTATCAAAAATTGTATCCCAATTTTACGATCGGTAACACATAGACGGTAATTTGATCCGTCAACACCAACTTCGTCCGAAGTTAGTGCCGGGTTTAGTTTTCCGACTGTGACTTTTTCGCTTGACATGTGCAGCGTGCTTTTTCTGCACAGCGTGTTGACTGGTCACCAAACTTCCCATTGTACCAACATTGCCAGTCTTGTCGGGAACGCTGTCTGGAGTGCGAGCGTGTCGGTGACCTACAACTCCGCCTTTCCTGTTCTCTGCATGCGTGGATTTGGGGATTGGTGAGACTTAGAAAGCTCACGGAATTCGTCCTTAGGAAGATTCATTATATTCAGTAGCTCTTCAGTCATTCTTGACGAAAGCGACGAGGACGAAGATACATTATGATGTTTCGAATACTAATAAATAAAATCGGGGTAAACACGGGTTTTTTCAGACCGGTTCGATGCCCTACCCGGGACCCAAAAATTATCTAAATGGGTTCAGCGGTTTAAGCGTGAAGAGATATTAGACAGACAGCAATATAGACGTGTGTTCGCATTTATTATATTGGTATGAATCAGTGAACAGTGATTATGCTAGAGGGCTGGTCTAATTTAAAACCTCACCTGGCGTGCCAGCGACAACATCAGGCGCTGGAGCGTCATTATGCTCCTGGAGGTCAAGATTTGTGGCAGAAGAAGCGGAGGTTCTGTCACCAGGAGGGACATAATAGAACCCTTCGTGGTGCGCCGCGCTGCCCACGCAGGCTGTCAGCGGCGCTAATGTCGATAGGAACTGACGGCGCGGCTCTGACCTTGGCTGGAAATGAAAAAGTTAGAGGTTTTAATTTATAAAACTGCGTGGAATCACAAAAAAAGTGCGGAAATTAACACACATACTCTTATATCCTACTTTCATCACCGTTATAATAATCGAATTGATATTTCCATCGACAATAGTTGTAGTGAAGAATCGATATACATAGTTGTATTGGTTTGAAATGAACACCTACTTTTGTTGGTTAACAAAGGTTAACATATGTATTCTAGAGATGGGCGTTTTTAGATATTTATGAAATCGATGCGCATAGGTATCAGATAAATCGCATCGGATCCGCGTATCACCGTACGGTACCGTAGCATTGCATCGATACCAAGTGAACATCAGTATCGTAGTATCACAAACTTTTCAGTGCCGGTGGCGAAAATGTGAACTACAATTTATCCATAGAATTGTGACATATTTGTTTACTGCTAGCGACATCTTCACCGGCACAGATAAGTTTGTGGCACTGTTGCTATAGTAACGATGACAAAAACTAGATGGCATTGGCATCCAATAACGGCATCCAGTCGCATCGGATGCGCGCATCCAAACCTGGCATCGTTATTACGCATCGTTATTCCAAAAACGCCCACCCCTTATGTATTTATTTTTAAATAAAAGGAGTGGATTGGAAAAAAGACTTCGAAATCAGATAAATAACAATGATGTCAGATACATTTAATGGCCTCAAAAGAACGAGCGGCTAACTAATACTTAAAAAGCCTCAGCTTCACGCTCCCAGTCCCAGTTCTATCCGAACTCCACTTCACATATAAATCAAAAACCAAAATTGATAATTTATCATTGACCTTACCTTTTGAGGTTCCTGGTGCACATCGCCCAAGTCAGGCGGCTGTCTATGTGGCACTACCGCCGACAACGTGGACGAGGAAGAGCTAGACGAAGCACTCCCGAATGCCTTATCGCTGTTCTTGTCGATACTGTTGAAGGATTTGTCGCTACTGCTGGACAGCTTGTCGGCGCTGACTCCCGCTGGCGACGTCCTCTCCTCCTGCTCATCTTCTACATCGCACGTCAACAGTCGAATGCGTTCGGCTAGTGACGTCGTTTCCTGCTGTAGAGAGCCAGTATTTAGAATATACATTTGTTGAGGCTTTGTTTTTTTATGGTTCTTTTAATTTGCGACTCTTATTAATATAATTTAGTAAAGAGTTGGAGTAGCCAACTAACTAGTCTGTTTAACACCTATCTACACGAAGGTGTGCCATTTTTAAGTCTATTATGACGTGATGGTAGTAGGAAGGAATATATGAAGAGCCCGTCTGGAGAAGTAACTATAAACTCTACTCTCTAGGAGACTGTAAAATGTTAAATTGTGTTCCTAGACATTGTGCCACTTCCGCGGTCTTTTAATATTAAACGTATAGAGGTGTCTGTACCCAAAACATTCAGAAAAGACAGCTACAAACACGAGACGCTTCTATACATGTTGTGTGAAGGAGACATACTTTTGTCCACGCCCCGTCTGCCACTTACGTCTTTTCTGAGTATCCAGCGCCTGAAGCTGCCAGAACCTCATGATATTTAATGTAATCAGTGACCCTGCGGCGCACACGTGCGGCCGTCAAGAGATCTTTGCGCAGCTGACGGCGCGCCAGGCGCACCACCACTCTCTTCGGGCAACCCGCCGATCTCCAGGTCTGACATCCTGATCGCGGTCGTTAACCTCGGCGCGCAGCTCGGTTATGGTATGCTCCAAGTCCATCCTACTAGTTGCATCAGGATCCACTTGACGCTGCTCCAATACCGCAATTCTGTGCTCGAAGGAGTCAAGTCAAACGGCAAAAGAACTGCGGAAGGCCGTCATCTCCGAGCGGAATTCCTTCATCTCCTTCATGCATTTGGCCAGCATACTTTTTATATCAGTGGTGTGATTATTTCCAGTGACGTTCTCCTTGGCCTTATCCTGGACCTCATCTTGCTTTAGAGAGCAATTGGCCAGGTCGACAGGTTCCCGTGCAGCAACCGGTTTTTCGGGCTCGGAAGATTCGCTGATACCCTTTACAGGCGTATGCGTGTTGTCACCCCTGCGTGTGCTCTTCTTGCAGTTCGGGCATATCCAGTTCTTGCTGACACGTGGCTTTTCCGGGATAGCGAGGCAGGCCTTACGATATTTTATTGGGCAAGCACAGCAAACAACAGCATTGCCTGGCGCCAAAAAACTTCCACAAGCTCCGCAGTTTACCATCTTTAGTCTAAAAATTTAAATTATAATTATAAAGTCTAAATAAAAGGGAGACAAATAAAAATAAGAATAGGTGCTGGGGTCAAAAACAAATAGATAAAAAAAAAAAAAAAAAAGTGCGGGATTTGAACCGACGACCGCGGTGAAGCATCGAACGTTAGTCCCGTGGTGAAAAATTATCACACTGCGCCGTTTAGATCGATAATGGAATGGAGAAAATTGTGTTCTATTGGTATCATGTGCACTCTTGTTAGGTTATTTTCGTTACGGAATTTCTTGATTCGGTCGCCGCGCTCAAAGCCCGCAATAAAAGCTATACAATAGCTTAAAAATATCATCTCATTCCCACATCAGAGGCATAATAGCTAATTTGGGAGTTCTTTTATATGGAAAAGCCCAAGATAATAATGCTGCTTGTCAATCACAGGTCATGGTAGCTGAACATTTAATATCGTACTTATCTATGACTGGGTGAGTATAGTTATTCTAAATATTAATAAAATAGGCTTCTTCCTAAACCTTGTTCAATACGGTAATTTGATAAGTTTCATCTTTGATTAGAGAGTAAATAATCAAAGTTTTCATCCTATGCTTATAGTTACACAGTCACATTTTAATTTAAAAACATTTTATTTAAACTAGATTTTGTGCAATGTGCAGATTCTAAAGAAACTTTAAGCGTCTCTTAGTCGGAAAAGCTTTCAGTATCCTCTCAGAAGTGGTCACTTTTATAAAATTGATAAGAACACAGAACACACAACACATGTTACAAGGTAGCTTTTAAAGTCCTGAACAGTGCAGTGTGACTCTTTATGCCTATGTTCTTACCTTAGGTTGCTGTTTCTTGCGGGCTTCGCTCCTAAGGAGTGAGCATCGCAGAGCGTTTCTTTCTGCTACTCTTCGGACAGCCGCGTCCTCGGACTTAGGCCTAACACCAGCGTCCCACGCCCTGAACATAACGCAACTTATTTTTACTCTAAAAAAAAAACGAACATATTTAACAGAGGAAATATTCCCTAGTAGGTAATAGAAACCATTTATAATGAAGTTTCGTGGGTTAATCAAACAAAAAAGCAGTCTAAATAGAATTAGGGTGAAATTGACACACAGGCAGCTCAGCCTCATTGTGATACATATATAGGTTGAGAGGGGATATTTTATATACCAGAAAAAAGTTACTAGACGATAAAAATCTAAAATCCACACAGACGAAGTTGCGGACGGAAGTTTATTTTATAATAGGTGCCTACGTAAATAGAGAACTTGTGCTATTTTTTTTAATACTTTTCTAAAATTTATTGCGGGATATCATTGACTTTAACTTTGTCTCTTTTGTTCGAAAAATCATCAAATCAGCGAAAACTGTGTCTATAAATAATTATTTTCAATTCATCATATTACACAAAAGCTTACTTCATTATGTAGCTACACCGACACATTCAAAATAAAGAACCATAGCGAAATATGTAATATATACACCGATATTTAAACTACGCAATAGTTATTTATGCAACTGTTATATAATGTATAGAAACACGAATGTGGGTTTATCACACGAGGCAAAGTCGAGGTGTTAATAGTATCACATATGTTCATTGAATTACATATTGCACTTGAATGATATGAACAAAATACGGCTTAACTAGTCTAAGACTATTCCTGGTTTATTAAGTAAGGGGTAAATAATATTATTAAATAATAAATTTTACTCTAATTATTCAGTCTTATTCAGTGTCTAAACTAAATGGTTTATTAAAGATTATCGAAGAAAATATCTAGTAATGATCTTAAAGAATCAATATGTAGTAAGTACCTAGCGCAGTATTTTCCACTATTCAATCAAGTTTATTCTATACTGTTCTATACAGTCTACGTATTAACGTATGATTAATCATGTGTTAAATCAGTATTTTTTTTTGTGTAGTCATAATTTTACATTATTAATATTTGTAATGGAAAGTGGCTTCATGAATTATCTTATATTGAAGTTATTTTTTTAATTTGACGACTCTTTAGATAATACAGGAAGAAAAAAACAGCACTTGCTGAGTTTCTTGTTGGTTCTTCTCAGTACTACTTTATTTTTATAATGGTCTCAAGGTCTCTTGCCGTAGATTTGCGAACCGATGGCGTAGCTTTTTCGACATACACAATTTCTTATAACAGTCTAGGCTGAATAAATGATATCTTTTTTTAATTTAGTATTACAGAGTTTACTTGAATTATCATGCTGCTAGCTCGTAAGTAATTTGCATCTCATCATGCGCCATGACAGGTGTGTAAATGATTGTTCAAAGCTGTATGAAAACATACTTTGTTATTTGCATTGATCAAAACAACTAAATAATTATGCATGCAAGACATCACGTAAATAATGTCATGCCGTATGATCGCCCAGGGACACCTTGCTTAGTACTTTTGACGAAAGGTGTAGTGTAATGAAAACCTCAAAATATTTACAACCACACTCGGATAGGTCAATCAACTTTACTTAAAAAAGGTTCTGTTTTTTTTTTGTGATAAGTAACAAGACGGTAAAACATTGTAAAAGCTGTGTGACATAAATTTGAAAAATAAAAATACCCGTCTGCTTAGTTATTACTTTAAATAAAAACTGAAAAGATAAAAACAAGACTAGTAGTCTATAATTCTGTGAAGTAAAGAACAAAGCTACTATAACAGCCGGGATCCATTAGATAATCAAGACTGGATCAAATTTCTTCAATAATGGGTCCCGACTGGAATAATTATACAATCACCAAAGCAAAGTCTATAATATTTGATAAACTAAGGGCGTAGAAAAAAAAATCATAGCGTTGGGTACAGCACCATAGCAATCTCATTTATTATCAATCTATACATTAGTGATACACTAATGTATAACCGACATGCCAGTACAAATTTCAGATCTGTCAATAAAAACATCTTAAGTTTCATCTATGCCCGATCTAGAGCTGTCATTTTTTATGTGTAAGTGTCGTAATTACAATTTCCTTTTTGCGAAAGTATGTGGGACTGCATTTGTGTGCATATTTCTTCCCTTCGCAAAAAGCGGCAGAATGATTTCAGTTGTATTATGTAATTATGGCTACACCGCTCCTTGCCGCGTCTGCTGTGTTGCTCTATGATTCTATACATTGAATTGAAACCTTTAAGTAGAAAATTTGAGTTAAGAAGCTTACAATTCATAGATATTGGCAAGATTTTTTAATTGGAGGGATGAAAACTTTGGGAAAGGGAATTTTATGAAAGGAAACTTGTTTTTTTCTCTGTAACAATGAATTCCTTTAATTTGATTACTTGGGGTTTTTATACTTACATTCGTTTATTTTTTATTAACTTGTTGAAAAAACCTATTCCTGATGATGGCTTCAACGCGTCTGTTGTTTGGAATTTTACATTTTACTGAGAAATCACAGAAAGAATCTTGCTTTTCATGAAAATAATCGGGATATAAATTTATTACTTCAGCAATCAAATCCATTTTCAGTTTAGGCATTAAAAAGTGTACGATTAAAGTTAAATATAAGTACCCAATGCAGCAAAAGCAGACTCATCTCCGTTGGCAGCACCCGTTTACGAGCATGACGCATGAACCAGCCATCGTTTCGCTCAACCATTTTTTAGGGAACGTCACGCCCCGCCTCACACGACACCGCAGGAGAGATTTTTAAGAGAGCATGACTACCCATAACCACGTATTGATACTAGGTTGCAAATGAAAAAAAATATAAGTACCTGTAAGTAAAGTAGTCAAGTAGTCTTTAAGCTTTTGTTATTTCAATGTAAATACATAAATAATTTATATATTGTATATATATGTGTGTATGTGTGTACAGTACCTGTGTACATTATTATAACAAACAAACTATAAACACAACTGTAGGACACATTCATGTGAATACCCATACACTATTAGGTATTTGCCAGAGAAATAATAATTGCTCACATACATACTGATTGATATGTCACACAGTAAATAAAAGTTGTGAATTTAAATTAAATAATTAAGGTTCATTATAAAAATAAAGTAGCACAGAGCAGACTCATCTCCGCTGGCAGCACCCGTTCACGAGCATGAAGCATGAACCAGCCATCGCTTCGCTCAACCATATACGCTAACCTTTCTGTATAAAAAATAACCTTTCATATTTTTGGAAGTGAAACCTCTTTAGCGGCGTTGTACACTTTTTTTGTAATGGGTCAGGATCACGTTTTTGGAAGTGAAACCTCTTTAGCGGCGTTGTACACTTTTTTTGTAATGGGTCAGGACAGGTGGCCAGATCGCGTCTGGACACGTGACCTAATCGATAATTCTGAAGACGAAAACAATAAAATTGGAAAGGTTGTTGACATTCAATATATTGGACGAAACATAGTAATATTTTATTTTATCGTATTATAATAATAAGTCTCTCTCTAGGACGTCCAGGTGGCAGCTTTATTGCGAAGAAAATGCATTTTTTTTACAATAGATGTCACTAGGTGCGCTTAAATGTGATTTATGTAAGTTGATTTTTCTGAGAGATAAACTTTGTAATGTATCATAATTAGCGCAATAAAATTTATTGTACTTTTATACTGATAATTAAAGCAATTCGTGCAAAATTATTCCCTAATCATTCCAAAATATCAAAAATGGACAACGTTAATATTCAAGGTTTCACTTTTGCCGGCACACCCGTAGTGCAACTCGTCGTTTTTTTACAGGAAAGGTATTATAAGTTGATAGAATATAATATTAGTTGTATTGACTTACAGAAAAATCGATGAGTATTTGAGCACTTCCCCGAATTTCGTGATTTATTCGTATTGATCCTATATAATAAAATCGATGCATTAAGAATTGATATGAAGTTAAACGAGTATTGAAATATCGCGTTATGTGAATTCTAGTACATCTTTACATACTAAATATGAATTTCATTTTTTTATTAGTTGTTATAAATCTGATTAATAAATTAAGTATTAGTCAGCTAATTTAGTCTGCAATTGCAATGATCTGCATAATTTTCAACCGCGCCTCAACGGCAGTGGCAACGTCACTACGTGGCTAAAAGAACTATTTTGGTTAATTATCCGGTAAATTATTAGTTATACATTGGTAAAATAAGTAAAATATATATTTTACCTGTAAATACGCATCATGCGTGAGGAGCTCGATGGCGCAAGTGGTTAGCGCGTTCGGCTGCGATCGTTGAATTTAAGCAACTTTCGCAGTGGTCGGTCATTGGATGGGTGACCAAAAATCTTCTATCTCGCGTTCCTCCGTGCTTCGGAAGGCACGTTAAGCCGTTGGTCCCGGCTGCATCTGCAGTCGTTAGCACCCGCCAATCCGCATTGGGCCCGCGTGGTGGGTCATGGCCCAATCTCCCTATTCCATCCATAGGGAAGGCCTGTGCCCCAGCAGTGGGGACATTAATAGGCTGATGGTGATGATGATGAAATGCGCATCACTACATTCGATTCACTTTCGTTTTTTTTTAAATATATGGTTGATGAGAGCGCACTTGAAGAAAAAAAATAACTGCCCTAGTTATTGGCAAAGTGCTCATACCCCTATGATTGCTCTTAAAGGTCTATAGTTTTAGTCCTACTACTGCTAACGAAGCTTACCAACATGAAAAATTCTAAAACGAGCGTTCCGTTTCGGAACGAACGCGCTAACCACTTGCGCCATCGAGCTCCTCACGCATGATGCGCATTTAAAGGTAAAATATATATTTTACTTATTTTACCAATGTATAACTGATAATTTACCGGATAATTAACCAAAATAGTTCTTTTAGCCACGTAGTGACGTTGCCACTGCCGTTGAGGCGCGGTTGAAAATTATGCAGAGCATTGCAATTGCAGACTAAATTAGCTGAGTAATACTTAATTTATTAATCAGATAAATTTTGGAATTATAACAACTAATAAAAAAATGAAATTCATATTTAGTATGTA